TCTCGTTGTCGGTGTGCATTAGTTCTATTGGTTTTTAAGTAATCTTAGAAAATGGCTGAGTTCCCAAATGCTATCATAATGATGACGAAATACAAAGTTCTGACTAATTTTCATAAGGTTTGATTTATGCATGAAGAGCTAATGCTCACACACGATGCAATTCCTTGAGCGAACAGGGACCGTCTCGACGAGGGATGGTGAGAGAAGGGGATCTTATTTGAATCATGGGGTGCATAAGTTGTGACTTCTGGAGACAGTAAAGCACAGGTGGAATATGAAACAGTGGAGTTATACCCTGATTCATTAGACTTCACCCTCTTTATGCCATTTCAGAGGAGCGCAGAGTTTTAGGAGCCACGTTTGGACACGTTGCATCAAACAAAAGACGCTTTTGACACCGTTGACCATCAGAAGGTAAATGAATGTAATGGTATGGCGTCGTGGCGGAATGAGGGTTAAATGTATTCATAGTGAAGGAGGACGGGAAGTTGGAGAGGGCCCGAGTATCTTACTGGCAAACTTTATATGTCCACCGGTATTGGTAAAACAGAGCTACCTTGAGAGTTGATAACGCTGTTGTTTTGTTGACTTCTGAGAGTGAAAAAATTTGAATTTCATGCTGTTTTGTGGAACTCTGACCGTGAAAAAAAAATTTAAATTTCATATCTTTCCTTATCATGGGAAAATGGGAACTTGAATAAATTTCGTGTACCTTGTTCTTGTGTAACTCTAACGCCATACGTGGGTCTTGACTTGCGCCAAATAATTACCGTTACACTGGAGATTTTTCGTCTTGTCTCGAAATAATACAAAGGACAAAAATTCACTCATAATGCAGATGATTTCGCTTTATTACAACATCATCCCATACGGCTCGATTCCAAATACTCCTCCAAGTCCAGCATCAATTTTGAGGTCGAGTGCGCGGCGCAGTCCAGAGGGAATGGTTAGCGTTGGCTATAGCATTGACTATTCTAAGTTCGGTCTTTACAAGTGTTTGAAAGTTCATCGCTCTTTTCGACGAAATTCTCTGACTGGTTGTACACTCGTTGTACTTTTCGCTTACATCCAAAAATTTCTCCTGAATCCGCCCTTGGAAAGCTCTACATCTAAATCAGTGGGAAAGAAATCCCAATCAGAACTACATTTAGCGCCACATCTTCATTACTACAAAGTTACGAGCGTGGGAATACGAGTGTTAAGCCATTTTTTCGATGAATAAGCTTCTTTATGAAGGGTTACTGCTTCAGAAGTCGCAACAGGCAGACGAATACAAAGCGTAAGCCGTCTGACAATTAGCATATGTTGGCAAAACATTGTCAGTCATTTCCTGGAGACGGCATCATGCCAGAAAAGCGCTCAACTTTGCCGAGCAACTGCTTCCAATAAAGTATGATGGATCACAATGAAGCGATGTCCTACTTGGATGATGCATGGCAGCGCTCAGCAGTGCTTACCTCCGTTGTTATTTGCTACAAACCCTCGGGGATCCCACGATCGAGAGGAAGCATTCATCACGGTCTTACACCAGGTCACCATACTTTTGCTACAACCTGCTTACTAAGCGATGTACACCAGCCGCATTGCCCGGGATAAGGAACCTACGCATTCAAGTATAGGTTCTCCTTTATCTCCTCTATCTAGTAAGCGCCCTTCCCACACAGAGCTCTTGAACTATGTCATTTCATGCTATGCTTATTACGCTGCTTAGGCACAAGCACTGGAATGCACTGGACTAGAAAGCACGCACAAACCAACATAACTATCTGAACGAAAACGTCCAGCACCAACTGACCACGTAAAATTAATAAGAAGGGATAAAGCAGTCGCCGTTGATCAATCCCTTTTTAGGATGCGATCTACTCCCATTTGTACATTCGTAGTGGGACTATGTGGCCTATACCATGGCTTGCGGGGGCCTGCCGGGTTTTTGTATCCTCCCAGATAAGTTTTGGTACCAATTACCCGATCCCGGAGGGAAGGAATGCTTGTTTGGCCCGGGCAACTCACGATAGAGGATTTGATCCCCGACCGCTCGCGTGGTAAACGTGCCACTTGCCGCTACACACTTCCGCCCCTATGTAAATTTATGCAAAAAAACTTGCATTGAAGAACACCAACTCTAAGAACAAATATAAAGCACCTCAGAGTATGAACATGATGAAGGACGGTTAACGCCTCAAGAGCTACAAATCTCATTTTTTTCGCAGCAGGCTTGAACCCGTCAGGAACCAAATGACCGCGGGTTGTATAGTTTACCTCTTCGAAAGATGGCAACCTGAATATAAGATTCTGCATTATATGTTGTGGACCCGGATCATGAAGTGAAAAATAATAAATGATATTATTATTTTGCTACGTGACCTCTTTGGTTCGAGAATGTCTTATAAATATCAAAGGAATCGAACTCGTTCCGATGACACAGAAACTGTAAACCATACAGGGGTGGCCAAAAAAAAAGAGACACTCAGCCCATGGCGCACATCATCGAACTTTTCGTCACACAGGGAGCCGATGTTAATGAAAGTTTTATGGCGTTATATTCCTTAGTTGTTCCTCCGTAAACAGAAGCAAGCACTCCTTCACTGCCCCTGCCGTCTCCAGAATATGACGTCATCTGCCGTCACCGTCGAGCTCAACGAGGCTTACCGAAATCGCTCCGACCTGAAGCTGCTACACAATTTCCTCAGTGAATTAATTGTTGAATAGCTTCCAGAGACATTAGCTGTGAATGTGCAAAACCGCTTTTGACCTGCGTTTCAGAGACGTCGTAATCGTCTATGGTATCTCAACGACCTCGTTGAGATCGTACCGCGCACAATGCTTCCGTGGGAAAATCTTCTGATGTCGTCGGTGTAGAAGGCTGTTGTGTAGCTTGTTGATAGATTATAACGTGCTCTTCAATATTCAGTTGGGGTCATTTGGTTTGGTTTCGCGACGCGTAAATAATTCCGTTTTGAATGTTGAGTGAAGTGTCTCTTTTTTTTGGCCACCCCTGTATATATAATTCGTAATCATCGCGCCGTAATTCAAGGAGTTCGAGTGTTCAGAGTATTCATCACGAATGGTGAGCTTCCCGAATGCTAATAATACGGTACGGACCGACACCGCAACACGAAAAATTTCAGCACGCGCAACATTGGTTTTGAACCTTCTGTCAAATGCTCGAATCGTTCGCTAGTGGAAAAATCACTTCAGCACCAGTCACAAAGGATGGCAAGATTCATAATCCCTTAGAAGGATAGACATAAATATGAATACATCGACGGCCACCGTTGTGTGTGCATATACCTACATTTTTTCATCTTTCCCTAATTTCCGGTAGATAAGCCCTAGCTAATTTCACGCAAAAAACCCGCTCGTGAAGTGTACTACTTGCATACACCTCCAATCTACCCCAATTTTGGCCATTGTAATTCGATGTCCTGATTACGGAATTGACATTTTTTAGCGACTGGCGGCCTGGGGCCAGTTGGCGTCACCTTGTCACGATCCTTGTTTTCACTAAAGTTGGTGTGATTTCTGCACAGGGGTTATTTGGTGTCCTCATTACGAGTATGGTACTCGTTCTTAGCGCAGAGCTCTTCGAACTAGTTTCTGATTTGTCTGCCCTGAGACAAGAATCGGAAAATATGCGTGACAGGCCACTACTGCCAAGAATGAATGTCATATTCGTAATCTGGGCACAAAATACCCCTATACAGAAGTTTACATTGAATTTTGGTGAAAACAAGGGGTCGTGACAAGGTGACGCCAACTGGCGCCAGATGGCGCCACCGCTAAAAATGAATGTCATTTTCGTAATCAGCAGCATCGAATTACCCCTATGGGCAAAGTTACGGTTGTCTCTAGATGTACGCAAGTACACTGCACGAGTGGAGGTGTTTTTACGTGATACTAGCTAGGGCTTATTTACCGGAAATTAGGGGACTTACCAGCAATTTCCATGAGTGGTAGTGACTAGACTATTTTTTTACCGTACCCGATAGTGCATTTGCACAGTTTGAAAAAGAAAAACGGAGGTATCAACCAAGCAAAATAGGTCTCCCCGAGTGAAAGTGTGGGACATATGTATCCCGCGCTGTCGTCAATGTGTCAAAAAATTGCACAACGAACACCTAGTGTGATATAACTGTTGCGCAGCTAAACCGTTCTCTTTGATTACCAAGCTTCCTCTCTCCCCGCACTTCAGGAGCACTCCAGTCAGTATTTCCATCAATTAACAGATGGGCAACAGCGTGAATCAGCGGCGTTTTACTTCTTGAGGGGCTTCAGAGGATTACATGTCGTCCCGCGGGAGCGCGTCCAACGGGCCGCGGTGTCATCATTCGTGGGTTTCTTAAGGTGTACCAGGCGTTCGCGTCACAACGTGCCGCTCCAGTTTTTCCGCTGCCGTTCTCAAAACAAACGCTTACGATAGTCCCAGCAGTGAAGTGGTATTTGAACGCTACCTTTGAGGCGCAGCTTAGGAGCTATGACCTGCGGTGTTGTGGATTACTACCGCAATTAAGCCGGCTACGTAAAGGCGCTGCAATTGGATGTATTTGGCTCTGATGAGCAGAATTTGGAGGAAATTTCCCATGGTCAACCATATTATTGAATTAACGCTCGATAGCCATTACCGGCATTGGACAGAATCGCCGCAGTTACGTCGCCTTCGTCTCCGCCTCTGGGCACCCGTCGCCGCCGCTGCAGCTTCACCATCGCAGCAGATTCTTCTCACGATGGGCGTGGCGATGCGATGCGCACGAAATTTATGTTGTTTCGTAGGCATCGACGTGGGCTCCAATTCCGTTGACCACCGAGTGCTTCACTCGTGACTTCGCAAATATATTGCGTTCTGAACCCTGCATTCAACCCCACCAATATTCCTGACTGATTCATCCATCAGCGTTCCGGCGGTACCCAAATCTTCCACCGTATTCATCTAATAGTATTCTCTAATTTCAAAAATAGTCACTCACGTGAGTGTGTCTTGCGAAAGCAACGTCGGCTTCGCGATGCCGACGGCAAGAGTCCGTCGAGCCAACTCGGCCAGAATTCCGAGTTCGACGTATACCGGACGCAATCTGCGAGTTTCAGATGCGTTCTCAGATAGCATACGGACATTGGCAATCACTGCTAGACGAAATTCGAGTCCATTGTCGAGAAAATCCACCAAAAAGATGAAGAAAAGCCGGCTGGTGGGAAAGAATGGCATTTGTAATGTTTACAACACGAACGTCCCGAAAAAAGACCGACAGTATCTCAGGTAAGACTTAACATGTTAAAACTGTATAGCACACGGTAAGTAACGTTATCTACCGGAAATCGGTCATTTTTCAGGGATATTTTCACAACAATGATTGACGTGAAGTGGAGATACATGTTGTTGATTTTCGCACTCGTTTTCTTATTGAGGTTTGTTTCTCATTAGAAAGCCAACGATTTAATTAAATCTATCTAAGGTGGAGTGTGGAAAATATTCAACTATTACGCGTTTCTTTTTTCCCATTCTCATTCATTGACATATTTGCGCTCTTGTGTGCTCTGACCTTTTCGCGAATGCTGTTGGAAAATGCACTGAGAGGCTTGATAGCTTTCCAGTAGTCGTTTTACCACAGGATTTTTCCGTCATTTGTCATACTTACAAAAAAAGGTTTCCCTAAGAGGGCTGTCAAGAACCCATGACCGTCCAGAGGTCTCTCTGCTATCTTAGGTGCTTCACTTATAATCGCTAGTTCTACGATAATCATCGACTCGCCTGATAGATCTGCCCTCTATAGCACATTGTGGATAACGGCAACGCCCTAACCTTACGTCACCCTCTTCGGTCTTTCCTATGGGATACCCTGGATGTGTTTTTAGTTCCAATAACCTTAGCAGCTTCCGCCACGCTTGTGGGAACACTTTCCCTCTGGTTTATAGGGCAGAATAGGGAGGACCTTGGAGGTGCGACTTTTCCGCTAAGTCTATAATTATGGTGCTCTCCGAGTCGCTCGTTACCTTCTGCTTAGATCTCATTTCGATTCGTTGTAATATTTGCCTTCCCACAACTGATGCACGGCGGCACCAGTCAGCTATGATCGTTCTTTAAACATGAAGGAATAATAACACACTTTCACACTTTACTGAACATTACTTTCATGAGTTCAGCGGTAGGCTACTCATTAGTCTACTGCCCTATTTGGCTGTGGGCTCTGTTATAAGCAAGTTGTTGTCAGTCTAGTGCTGCTCTTGCAGTTCGAAGCTGACATATACCGTTTCGGAGCGGCACTAAGATACGTGCTGCAGCAAGATGGTAACGCCGCTTTGCGTAACTTCTTTCTTTACCCTGAAGACGATCATGTCAAAAGGGCCTCTGCAGTGGCGTAGGAGCGCCTAAGTGATCCAAAAATTAACCGCGAGAAGCCCACACCGCTGAGGGTCCCGATAACTGGTTTGCGCAATAGGATTGAGAGCTAAAATCGGAAAGCATGCAGTATATGGTACTCTAGCTACATGGTTTGCCAAGCCCGGATCGGTCATATTGAATTACGTCTATCTCCTAATGATGAAGGACGGCCTGCTTGCTCGCATGACTGCCCTTCCTCTCAAGTTTTGCCTTCCATCTTGATGACTTATGGGCAAAACCCTTCCAACCTTCAGAAGACAGATCAACCGATAACTGCCAGTTTAGTGGTGCTTTTTCATACACCAATACAGTTCTTAGGTTTACATCGGTCAGAAAATTTGAAATGTAAGAATGTGGAGCACGAAACTGAACTTTTGTCTGGTGATGTTCTAATTTTTTTGATATTCCTGTAGAGGCTCTGATTTGGGTACTGTGGAATACCACACTGCTGACGTGGCTGTAAGGGTTTGTATAAAACTGTGTATATGAATTCCTGTTTCACCTGATTCAGATGGGCAGCTAGAATGGTTAGCCCAGAGGCTCCCGCAAAGTAGTGCGTAATATCGGAGTTGCTAGAGTAAACCAAATAGATTCTTCCAAATGTGTGTATGTTGGCACTTCCCAAAATCGATCTACCAACCGAGTAGGTTCACTAGCGCGCTTCTCTGCAGATATCAAGTTTCATTTTTGAAGTGTCCCAATTCACTGATCACAATTTTAATGAATATTTTACAGTTGGACGACATTTGCAAGTATCTACTACACGATTGCACTGATTCATGGAGATCTATCGCCCGACTTCCGCTACCTCAATCGTACTCAATGCGTTGTGAATCTTGACTCAGTCTATTCATCATTCCTTTTTGCTGTCGAAACACATCATACAATAGGATATGGACACAGGTGCTACAGTAATATTATTCTATTTTTTCGATTCTATTACAAGCATGCATCATGTGCGATGTGCGAGAGTAACCATATTCTGGTTGCGTGCATGCGTTTCTGTGTTTGTGCAGCAAATACTCGCCTGCCTCATCAAATTCATTCGCATGAAGCTCGAGGTGTTATTAGAGAGATGTTTATGAGGAAGCTTCAAGGTTTTCGCATATATCACGTCACCCACCCAAGTTTGACCTATCAGTCTGCGAAAACTGCTCCAGGATGAGCCAAGTGTCCAGGAAGCTTAGCAGTCACTAGCAACCGAAGTGGCCCCCTCCCAGCTGAGGTCCCGCACATGACCTCCCTTGTAGCGAGTACCACATCTATCCTCCCTCCAAGTACACCTCACCCTTCAAAAGAAGTCTATCGAGCAAGTGAGGGAAGGATAGGACATTATCACATACACGCTGCAGTGAATTCACGGAAAAACACCCAATCTTTTCAGAATTCCTGTGAAATTACCAAATTTTCAAATTTTTTATTAGTGAGCACGTAAATACTTTTGATATCGCACCGTACGTCACATTTGAGTTGCCAAAGAATACACGAAAGAAGTGATTTATTGGTTAATCTGCAGTGAAACACGTACACTTCACCGTCTCTTGACTCGAGAACTCTTGAATCTACTCTTGTTCTTTAATTTTTTTAAATTAAAAAATTAAATGTTAGAAAGAAAAATTAGAAAAAATTCCAGAAATTGACGACGTTTATCTGAATACTCTTTTCAAGTACGACCCCCCCCACCTCCTAAGCGAGAAGTTGTAGACTTTGATTAAACGTTCTTTGCCCTGAATTCCTCCACGCTCATTGGGTGAGCTTCTTCATCAGCAAAATTTTATTTACCTATTTGTGTGTTTACACGATGTCTTACAGCCAGACTCACAAAACAAAAAGATAAACAACCAACATTTCAATATTAGAAGTTCTCGTAATTTGAACCACTGTTCCTGTGTACTCTCTGGAGGATGATTCGGACGAAACTTCCCGTTTCATCTATGCCTTTTGTGGCTTGTAGTTGTGATACATGCATTGACTGCTGTTTTTTATGGTACTGTATACCATGAAAAGCTGAGTTGGGATGAAATGGTGCCCCGGTAGCGTAACTGGTAGCGCACTTGCCCGGAAAGCGAGAGGTGCGGGTTCTAGTCCCGCCTGGGGCGAAAGTTTTGTTCACAACCCAGCATTCTTGTGAAACATTCGCAACGCGAACTGCGGCGTTAAAACAGCAGTTAACAAACAAAACAAGTCAAAATACTTCTTTGATGTTTTCATTCAATGTCCGCACTGGACCACTTTTTGACTCACTCTCATGTCAAATTTATAATTCAGGAAAATAAATTTCATTAATGGACCAGTTTTCAATTATTTTCGAGATGGCCATGGAGATCTTTTGACACGAATCTTGATACTTACCAATTACAGTATGTCACAACATACTGAGAAAACTTGTGTCTGGCAATTTTGCCGTCTTCTTGAGGGTCTTCATGATTTCTCAGTTAAACGCTGCTCTTAACTGGAATTATTCGACCACAATTTCGCAACACATTGCCATATGCTATACGAAGTTATTACGTGCTGGTGTTGAGTATGAGTTACAGCTGAGTTTGGGTGCATAACACGGAACCTTCCACTGTTTCAGAGGTGCCCAACAGAAGGCGTGGCAAGAAGGCAGAGTCAGCAGATAAGTCGCAGCGCGTGCTGTGCGATTGGACAAACAATGGTACATTCCTACATAATTTGACACCAAATCACTACAGTACGAACTGCGACTCGTCCGCTGACTCTGCCATTCTGCCGCGCGACGGACCTGCTGTTGGGTGCCCACTGTTTTCAGCCATCCACCGGCATAGCATGAAATTATAAGAGCGGAATTTTGAAAAGTGCTTATTGAATTTGTGTCAGTGAAGGGATGTTGAAGGGAATTCAATTTTTCCTTACAAAACCATAATCGACCACTGGCAATGATGAAAAATCGACAATTCAATAGTTATACATAGCATCACCGTCAAATCAGCAACGATACTCTTTCTTATAGAGGATCGAATGGACGTAGTTAAGATAGGTAATGATTAGGAGTAATATTTGCAAAGTCAAATTTCACTCACACCGCTAATTGAGCTGCCCAATCCACTTTGAATGATGGATCTGTGTTGTCTTTGCTAGAACCTACGGCTAAGACGGCCCAGACCCACTTAGTGAGCCTTTACTGTGGCTAGAAGCGCTAGGTACGCAAGTGTAGAGGTCGCGTCACTTCCCTACTTCGAAAAGCGTTACTTAGACGCTAGGCGCTAAGAACTTTGACACGCTCCACCTGTTGCGACACGCTCCGCCCACCGCTCTTGTCTGCGTCGCTGACTTGCTATGCTCTCTCTACTCGGACTTCTCTAGCGCTCTCCGCGCTCACATTATCTCTCATCTCCCTGCCGGCCTTTTGAACTTCTCCGCAGCGTAGAGCAAAAGGCTCGTATTTCCTGTGTATTTCACGATTTTTTTTTTTTTCTCCACTGGCGGTCCACCTCCTACCCCTACTTTCACATTTGAGTGGAATTACCTCATCAATTCAATCCTGAATCTTGCCTTTAACACAGTCTTTATAACAATGTACAATGTTTGGTTTTTGAACGCTTCAGTCAAGCCTGTCATATTTAACCTTGATTTCAGATATATAACAACAGAATGTCCACTAGCTGGTGCCACCGTCTGTCTACAAGCCGTATGTGGCTTATTAATACAGAGTTTCATGGTGGGCTTAGTGTTCGCCAAACTGGCCCGGCCGAAGAAACGCGCCGAAACAATCATATTCAGGTGAGCATTACCTCTTAATGATAATCTGAATGTTTTGCAAGGGCTGTTACCCTTATTTGTCTGCTTCTTGCGAGGATGAGGAGGTAAACAACAGTAAACACGAAAGGGCAAAATGGTCCGAAGAGGGTGTTCGCAAACCTCTTCTTCAATTACGTGAACATAATTAGTATGTGCATACATATAAATGTATAGCAGCGACGTTAATTTGGGACAGAAGATATTGCTAGTCAAGGTTTTAGCGAGCATGGTTTCTTATGTAGGGGTAGGTTGCATTTATTGCCTGCAATTGCAATAATATTGAAGTAAGAAGCGAATACTGACCAGATAAGGTTAGCGTTACTTATGATGCAGTGCTGGAACAGCGCAAAGGGTAAAGAGGGCGACTTACACCCACACTCGCCATTCAAACCCGAGCCGGCCCACTTGAACATTTCGTCCGGTTCGGTGATATGTGCTATTGATCACTATTATTACTTACCATTTTGGCTCTGCACCCTAACACGTGCGTCACACGAGATCAGAACCATCTACATAGTGAACAGGGCGGCTGTAGGGTTTGGCTTTTCCCCCTCCTCTGCCCCTCCCCACCACCACCTTCCCCCTCCCCGCTACGATGCCTTCTCCAGTCACTATGGAGGCTCCTTTTATGGAGCTCCTATTTGCTTATTTTTCGGTTTCTACTAAAAATTATGTGAGCTTTGGATTCAAACTCCTCCCAAGGCACTGTACTTACTAGTGGCACTTGACTTCCCTTCCCTTCCTCTATCCAACTTTCTGACCTCGGGGATGTTTTAGAACCGAAATGTGTGCTTTTGTGGCAAACTCCACCCACTTCGGCGTTGCAATATGGGGCCGTGTGCAACATGCCCCGAATGGGATATATCCCCAACGATTTTCGGGGCTAGTTGCATATGACCTTCGGGAACATGACCCGACGTCCTTTGGAGCTTTTTGTATACGACCGGGATATATCCCCGAGTAGCCTCGGGGCTTGTTGCATACGCCGGGGGTATGTCCCTGACGACCTTATGCAACAAGCCCCGAAGGTCGTCTTAGACATATCCCCGAAGACATTCGGGGCTTGTTGTATACTGCCCCTGACTCGGAGTGTAGGTCATTGATGCACGCAACAGGTGAAGAAAATGCATTTCTCATCTTAGAGAACTGTTCAATCACTTGAGCAGATCATATGTTGTCTACTGCCTTTGTCAGCACAAATACATACCCCAGTTGACTTCAGCATTTTTGAATATTTGGAATAGCATCACTACGATGTGTTAATTTCTTCATCAAGTTAGGGGTAACATAATAATGGCAAGTACCATTACGTATACACATCGGTGAAGATTTAATTTGCCACCCGTGGATGAGACGTTTGAGAAGAGCTTGGTAGCTGACTAATCGCTCTAATGCAATTCGGCGGTACTGAGAACCGAATCGCAGCCCATGAGCGGGAATTTCATGCCAGCCGACGATGCGACGTATTTTTTGCTGGCGATGAAATTGATACCCCAAAGTACATGTTTGTGGCCGAAAATTGCCGCTTTGATAGTTCTCAATCGCTGTACTCTCCTATGTATAGTTCTTCGACTGTTCACATTCATTCCTTGACTGAATCCTTCCTAAAGAGAATCTGTCCACGTATCCGTATATCATCGCGCAACCTACATATAAGCAGACTTGATCTCAATGATGTTCCTCGTTAGAGGTGTAGCAGTGGCACTGGATGAGATTCTATTGGCTCTTCTTGTGGCCTTGAAGGGAATGTGTTCACAACAATGACGCTCTAGCTTAGTGCATGTTCCCTAGGGCTGCTTTCATAGTTTGAGATCCGTGCGGACCGCGCGGACCGCGTGGAGAGGGTGAAAAGCATCAACGCGCGCTCTTGCGCACAATGCGTACTTATAGCGCGCAGGCGGCGGCCCTCCGATGCGATAATCCTAATTTCAATCATTCTTTTAAAGCCATGATTTTACACGAAAAAGAGAAGATTCTTGCCAAACAGTGCAAGATCATCAAGCACGTGGAAACTGAAAAACAAATAGAATTAATTAATGCGCGAATTTTATCGATCGGAAGAGCCGTCTGCTGCGTCCCCGTACGCATGTGGTCAGAGCGTGTTGATGCTTTCACTCTCTGCCGGCGGTGCGCACGAGCCGCAACTATGACAGCAGCCTAAGCTTTGAGTTTTTGCAATGCCTGTGAATGGGTTGCTCACAGAAAGTATGAAATCCCCTCATCTTCAGGAGTTACCCGTGATTAGGTCTTTCTGAACAACTCTATGACTGAGGCAGCCCAAATCATTAACATATATGTATATCGTATTTAGCGTGATCCTGTGTCGCAACGGTCTAATATACGTTACATAATATGGGCCATGTTTTCCGAGAGCATCTTGAATTGAGGGAACTATGCATTGAAGTTAACTAATTTAAGCTCATCTTGAAGCGATCTAGCGAAAAACCGGCTTTTTTTCTGGGATATTGTAAGACCTCTCAATTAACAATATTTCATTTTCAGCTAAACTGATGCTATCTTCGTCCTTCTGCGATTTAATGGGTTCAGCTTACTGGGTCCACAAATGAAAGCAGTTGTGATGATCGGCCAACAGTGATGAAAAGCGAGAAAAAAATCGCTAAAATTTTTTGAAGCCGCGTTGCGAACCGATCATCTGGTAAGTTTGCGCCCAGGACGCAAGTATCTGGGATGTTCAGAGGTTGGCTCTTTCTCGTTTCCGCCTGGTTTATTCGTCTCAGGGGGAACGGTTTAACTCGAGAGAACTCCTTGGGGGGGAAGGCGAATCCGCGAATATTGTTGAATACATAGCGGGAGTGTGATTTAAATCGCAAAAACCATCGATCGTTATAAGCGGGATTTGAATTTTGATTTTTGCGTTTCTTTCTCACGTTGTGGCAAACTACCTGCCTACATCCAGTTACGAATTCCATGATCCCTGACCTATTCAATCGCGAAACGTGGCCAGAAGTGGCATGGATTGGCTTCAAGTTTCCGTCCTGTCAATGCAGACCTATGGGTGCTCTTTGTGCTTTCTTTTCTAGCTATTTCTCTAAGGGACTGACATCATTATTATAATAATCTCAGCCCAAAATAACCAGAATCGACCTTTCGTCAAAGAATGAATTAGGAAACGCTGAACGCCCCTTCTCTATCGCACCCCTTTTTATTCCAATGAAGAGCCACGCAAATTGGCAGTATTACGCAAACGACACCGCGTGGGGTAATCCTATTCTTTGGCTTGGTAGCAATATGCGAAATATGTGAGTCCCAATATTGGAGCCGAAATGCGGGATCACCAATAATGCAGCGTCCTTTAGGCTATTCTCTCCACACCGAATTATGTACATCAACCTAGGAAGTACAGCAGAGATCCGCGCTATGAACTCAGGGACGTGTTGTTCAATGGGTACAAAAGTTATAAAACCATAAGCTTGTGGATGGAAATGATGGAAAGCGACGATTTCCCCGTCGTCCGAACGGAACAAGTAGGTAGCCCATAACTATGCGCCCGCGTCAACTCAGGGATTCAGAAAACGATTTCAAATGGCTTGCACAAGTGTAATTGGAGACGGACGCACTCGGCAATGGAGTCGTCTGCCGACTCTGTCCGCCGCAGGCTCTTGAATGAATATTGAAAATGTGGATGTGCTCACGTTCATGTTATCGCCAGTGTGGTCTTGAGCAGGGTAGCGCTCTCACACCTTGGTAGTGAAGTACGTTTCTGTATAGCAAACCGAATATACAGGGTGGGCAAAATTACTGGTGCACTAAATTTTCAATGGCATTTTGACAATAATTCTCACAAATCAATTCTAATTATCAATATTATTTACTACAAACATGACAATACAAAAAATGTTAATGCTTCTCAAAATGATCTCCTTTAGCCTTCACACAGTCCTTCAGACGTTCGACAAATGCTTCGCATGTGGCACGCAGGTACTGGTCATCGATTTCGTCCCAAGATTTTGAAAGCGCCGCCTTAAGAGAGTCCAAGTTTGGATCTGGTAGAACACGCTTTGCTCTCCAAGATGGACCACACAGAGTAATCCATCGGGTTTAGATCAGGAGAACTGGAGGGCCATTCGTCGTGTCTGATGAAGTCGGGCAGGTGCTCGGCGCACCACTCCTGGACCATCCCCAAACAAGAATGGACTGGGGGTGTTTCGCTCTTTCCTGGAGTCTTGCCTTGGTGGTAGCATCAGCAAGTGATCCTGCAATAATCCTCTCATTTTGGGAGTTGAAGGCTGGATTCAGAGTAAAAATCTTTTCATCACTGAAAACGATGTCTCGGGCGCGTGCCACCGTGAATCGCTGCAGCAACTTCTTGCATCTCTCCAATCTCCTTTTCTTCATAATGTCCGTCAGGAGTTGGCATTTCTGCAAGCGATAGGGGAACTTCCTTAGCTTACTTCTGACAATCCTCCTCATTGACCTCGCGCTTACTCCAACGTCTTTCGCCATCTGGCGCATCGATCTCCTGGCGTTCCTTCGAATTCTTTCTCTGACGAGCCTCACATTTCTCCGACTCGTAGCTGTTGTGGGACGTCCTCTTCCTTCCCTGTCCTCTTCGGTCTTCAGTTCTTTATAGCGTCGTACTGTATTCTGAACCGTCCTTCGAGGTACGGAAAGGATCTTCACAATTTCTCTTGTTTGCTTGCCGTCGTTGTGAAGTTTGATGATCGCGCTCCGTAGGTCAGAACGACGGACCATTTTGTATTCGAGTACGTAGGAATTACGCAACCTCCAGGCAACATATCACAAGCGAGTGAAACAGGAAAATCTCCAAGAAGTGTTAAAAAATTCAAAACGTATAGGTGCACCAGTAATTTTGCCCCACCCTCCGTGTGAAAGATTCCCCGCGTGTCCGCATTCCGCGTAAGCGCGTCTAACTTTCATGTTCCAAATAATGGTGAATGGCATGTATGGAAGTACAGATTTATACTTCAGCTAGCCATCATAATTCATTGTATGGACCACATCGCA